CAGTCATTCGTCCTACTGTCCAATGGAAGCGCGCGAACTTAAGCATTGCGTGCTGGTGTATACTTTAGCTAACTAATAAAATAAATATTATATCTGTTTGAACCAAGTGCGCTGTCTACCTTGTTATCAATTATTTTCTAATGCAGTTCCATTTTGTATTCAGTATATTCATTCTATTTACTCCTTATTAGGGAAAATAAGTTTTCTTTTTTGGTGAAAGCATTTGCACAGTCACCAAAAAAAACATATTCCCCTGATAAAGAGAAAAACGAAATGAGAATAATACAGAAAAATCCAAGTGCATTAAAACTAATATCTGCTATTAGCTCTGTATTAATGTTAGGGCTTCGCATTTACAGGGAATTCATTTGAAAAATTCCCACCACGGATTTATCCTAAAGATTTGTCAAGCGGGACAACTTTTTAAACAAAAGCTACTATTTCAAAAATAAATTAAGCTCTGAATATATTTTTTTCATTGAATAAGATTAGTTCAAATGACGTATTACAGGCAATAGGGAGCCTAAAATCTGATGCGAAGGGAATTGATGGTATATCCCTGTCAATGATCCAGCTTTGCCTGCCAGTTATTCTCCATCACATCGTCCACATTTTTAACGACTGCTTGGAAAAAGGCTACTTTCCAAACTCATTGAAACAAGCTCTAATTATTCCAGTTCCTAAAAAAATGAAGCCCACTGAGTATAATGATCTCAGACCTATCAGTTTATTACCAATTTTATCCAAAATTTTAGAAAAAATTATAAAGTTCCAATTGACCGCTTACCTAGAAAAATTCTTTATACTTCCCGACACTCAATCCGGATTTAGAAAAAATTATAGTACAACACCTGCCCTACTTAATCTGCAAGACAATATTTTAAGTGCCTTAGATAAGAAAATGGCACTAGCCTTAATCTCTATAGACTATTCGAAAGCCTTTGACAGCATCAATCATAAATTATTACTTAAATTAAATTACATAGGTCTTGACAGTGTATCCCTTTCATTTTTCGACAGTTACCTTCATCAAAGAACTCAGTGTGTTTTTCTCAATCAAGAAATGTCTCTAGTGACAATAATTCCCTCAGGCGTACCTCAGGGCTCTGTATTGGGGCCGCTTCTGTTCCTCATATATACGTTCGACTTAAGCAAAAGTATTGATAATTCTCATGTCCAGTCATTTGCAGACGATACGCAATTGCTTCATTATTTTAACCCAGATAATGTCAATAATACTACTCAAATTTTACAAAACAATGTTAATAAATTAATTAAATACTCTTTAGATCACAATCTTCTTATTAATCCACAAAAATCTAAAATGTTATTATTCTGCGCACAAAGAAAAACATACAATGTAACACAGCTCTTGAACATTCAGATAAATAACCAAATCTTGCAATTTTCTGATTCTGCAAAAATTCTTGGTGTTGTTTTTGATACAAAATTAAGGTTTATTGAACATGTTAAAAGTCTATCTCAGAAAACCTACCTACGGCTGCACACTCTTATAGCAAACAGGTATTTACTAAATTTTAAGTTGCGTAAAAAACTATGTGAAGCATTGGTCATATCTGTACTAAATTATTGTAATATCGTATACTATACTTGTTTAGATAATTTCACTAAAAACGTTATTCAAGTTATTCAAAACAATTGTATACGATTCATTTTTGGCTTACGTAAATTTGATCATGTATCAGCGAAATATCCCGTTCTAGACTGGTTAAAAATTAATGACATGGTCAAGTATCACTATTCAGTTTTTGTTCACAAGTTGCTGCTCACGTCTAAACCTTATTACTTGAAGGAAAAAATTTCATTCAATCTTCTTGATAAAGCTTACCAAATAATTTTCATATTATGCAGGTGTCTGTTTTTGATAAAATATGTTTCAGAAATCAAATTTTTTCCATTATAGTTAACGAGAAAGAACTATTTTTGTTATTAGGTCGGTTAAACGTGCGTAAAGACATAAGGTCGATCATATGTACACAAATCGCTAGAGTACGGAGCATTCTTGTTCTACTTTCACTGTAGAGGGTTTCAGCTGATATTAGATAAAATTTTCTAATATGATTCTATTTCGAGCTCAAGGAGATCGGATTACAACAATTACTACCTTCTACAAATGCTTAGAGGCTGACACATCTAAAGCACCTATAATAATATACTCCCCCATATAACCTCTGTTGTTTCTCGGTATTATAAATAGAGAGGGAGTTTTCATAATCTTCGCACTTATTGACACGCAAAACTTTCGTGGCACGAATACTTTGATTGAACGGTTGTGAGCGGAGTAGGTGGACTTGCGCCATTTTCGAAATTGAGGTCGCTTAGAAAGTCTTTTCGCAAATAAATAGACCATTGGTTTATTTTAGAGACTGGCAAATTTTCATATAACTGCGAGGTACTAATTTATTTAAATCTGCCAGTCGACCTGTCTGGCTATTTGCATGTCGTTTCGCTCATTAATTGATTATTAGGATTAAGTTTATTTCCGACAGGCATATACATCCAATTGCAGAAAATATCAATAAATATCATTATAGCACAGTATACATAGATAAGAACAACAATACAGGGTGTTCCTTAATAATATGCGAATATTTAAGGGTGTGAATCTACGAGAAAAATTAATGTTGCTTCATAAACTATGGTCCAAAAATGTTATCTTACAAAAACTCGGGGTGTTGAAGTTTTAGGAATAACCGAGACTTGTCAGATGTCAAAAGCCAGTGACATATTCCAGAGCAACTAGATATTTATTGATAAACTGCATTCTTTACATTAATTTTCTCGGACAATAGAACGGTTTCTATTTTGTTACTCAGGTAAACAGTTCAACAGAAATCATTTGTTTTAAATTGAGCGAGGAATTCAAAAATTATTTTTATTTGGCAAAAAACCATTGGCGTACCATTTTTTTCTTAAAATATATCAAAGTCAATTCCCGTACGCACGCCACTGTAATAGCTAAAAATTATTTTTGCATTGAAAAATATGCAACTTTATTAACTTTCACTACGTATCAGTGAAATATCTGAAGCGGTTCTGAAAATATTAATTAATTTCTACTTTTTCCTAAAACTTCAACAGCCCGAGTTTTTGTAAGGAAACATTTTTGGACCATAGTTTATAAAACAAACTAATATTAATTTTTCATATAGATTCACTCCCTTAAATATTCGCATATCATTAAGGAACACCCTGTATATTAGTGAGTAGTCAACAATAATACGAGGGATGCCTTTTAAGTTTTGCATATAGAAACATAGTAGGCCGCGCGGATCGAACGTCAGTACTGAATCTTAACCTCACTATTTAGTAAACTTAAATTCAAAGTTTCACAAGAATACGTGCAGTGTTCTCACTACAGTGAATTTTTAAGTGTCACCAAGTCATTAGAAAAATGGAACTCAACCGAGAACATTTTCGCGCCACAACTTTCAGAGACAATTATCGCAACAAGAATGTCTTGCTGACTTCCCGTTGGTATGGAGAATTCAAACGTGGACGGGTGAGTCTTAGCGACGATCCCAGGGTGGGTGAACCAAAAAAGGCAGTCACCCAGGAAAACGTCGATGCTGTGCGCAAAGTCATCATTGAAGAAAGACATGTGACATATCGCGAGATTGAGGCGTCCTTGAAGATCTCAAAGACCTCAATTCAAAAAATTTTACACGAAGAATTAGGAGTAAGAAAATTAGTTTCTCGTTGGATATCCCACCTATTGACTGAAGAGCAGAAAGCAGCCAGGGTTAATTGGTGTCAAAAAACGATTGACCGTTTCAATTTCGTAAACTCAAACACAGCACACAGCCCAAAAAACAAGGCAGTATTTAACGGAAGAAAACATGGAATTATTGGACCATCCTCATTATAGTCCCGATCTAAGTTCTAACGATTTCTTTACTTTCCCGAAAATTAAAAACAGACTGCGTGGTCAAAGGTTCCAGTCACCAGAAGAAGCAGTTGACGCACTCAAAAATGCCGTTTTGGATCTGTCAGAAAACGAGTGGAATAGGTGCTTCGAAAAATGGTTCGAGCGCATGCAGATGTGTATTAATCTTCGTGGAGAATACTTCGAAAAACAATAAAGTCATTTAAACCTATCTACCGTGTTCTTTTATTTCCATATGCAAAACTTAAAAGACATCCCTCGTATACTAGCTCACAGCTTCATCAAGGTAAAAGGATGACCCGAGACTTAGTGTCATTATTTATGTGGCATTTACTGATACTATTGAATAGTGTACACATCCTATGCACGGGGGACTTGGATACAACATTGGTGCGGCAGAAACTCATTTCACCGACTGTCTTCAATTTTATGTAGGATAAGTTGACGAGCTTAAAAACTCGACAACCACACACATTTTTGCGCTTTCTTTCATGTTACACTGTCAAAATTCTGACTTGGCTTCCGGAAATGTATGGAAATGGGAAAAACCTCATTTCCGCTTGTTTTTCAATTTTTGACGTTCGTGGTCAAGAAATAAACACTGTTAACCCTGAAACCCATTGTACGAGATATGTACTTGTTTACGTTCATTTCAGGTCTGTTGTTAAAAGAAGCATTTTTTATCCAACTTTAGGCATTTTAAACTGAGCTTCCATATGTATTTTTGTCTATTGTTTAAGATTGTAGAGTCAAAGTTTTAATTTGTTTCCCTGAAAATTGTGAAATTAGGAAAAACTGCATTGTCGCTGATTTTCATAAATTTGCACCAGCTTTCGTTGTTTATACTCGTATATGTTAAGTAAGCACAAGTAATTGCTACTTTTATTCACTCCATTTTAAAGGAATTTGTTACTAGGGCGTTTACTTTTTTTATTCTATTCATACTTGTTTATGAAGATACTGCTGTCAATAAGTCAGAATTTGAATATGCTAATCAATTATTGACTGTCGCGAAAAGACATAAACTCTCATAGATCGTCAAAACTGGCGCCGGTAGAAATAAGCGTTTAATATGTGCCTGAAAAAAGGATACACCCATTCTAGCTGCAGCTTCTTATCAGGTGGAGTATTATCAGCTGGTGCGTGGTGAATTGGAGGGTAGAACGTTCTTCGCAGTCCTTTTATTGTCACTCGAACTGGCTCTTCTTTCAGCACTTCCAGTAATGTATAATCTATCGGAATATCCACCAAAGAGTAAGACATAACCTAAGTCTGGGAAAGTGTTATGCTAAAATAATACAGCACAAAGTGCCATCTATTACCAGAATCGGCCACCGGTTCACCTCTGTGGCCGCTAGATGCTGCCGATTCTGCTGCTATAGCAGATCTAGCTGTTGATCAAGCTCCGAAGTTGAGATCCGGACATTGCGAACTGGGATACAGTTTTAACAGATATATTGCTGTTTTCACTTTCACAGTGGTCGGTTCCGGTAACAGATGGCACTTTGTGCTGCCTTATTTCAAGACCAAGCCTACATCATGCTGACGAGTTGCCAAATAGTCCGAAACAGCTGTCCATGGTTGGCCGTCTGTGGTCGGATGAACGAGACCTATATTACCAGTGTTTTGTTGTTGCAGGAATAACACTGCTACAAACCTATGGCTGCACGTTACATAGTCTAGTCAAATTAGACGAAAATGCGAAATAATTGTAAAGTCTGATTTTATTGCTGCAAGTTGTTCAAAGGGGTATTTCAAACATGGACGCATGAAATGGGTACACCAATTTTTGTAGGTAATTTTTTTATTCGACAACAAAGAATAATAAAATAATTTTTTGGGATCGAAGGAGGAGCGAAAAAAATCTTCATATAGGATTTTTAGGTATTTCCGAGACCTACAAAATGATAAGAAACTTATGGCCGAAAACCGAGGCAAACTACAGGTTTTGGCACTTGTACCAATAAAACCAGACTTTACAATTACTTCGAGAAAATTTGCTAATATGATTAGACTAGTATTATAATTTTGGAGTACAAAACAGGTGTTGATACGTGAATGCTTTCTTTTATATGCCCTATTTAGGTTTGAACTTACCATTGGTCCTAACAATTTCATTTTCGGGAGCATATAACGCCCTAGGTCTACTTTTACTCCTTGCTCTGCGCTGTTTGCTGATATCTTCAACGATGGCAGTCTGAGGTGCTCTAGATCTCGCTCTTCTTACCGGAGATAGCATAACAGCTGGGGTCTGTGAATAAAACGGGAGAAAAACGAAACATAAATTGGAAATCACCTCATAACAAAAAAAAAAAAATGATTAGTTTTGGGAACTGTAGCTAATCAGGAAAAATTGGATTTTCTAATAACGAAACACTAGGTATCGCGGCAGTTCAAATTAGTTGAGATCTACTTTCTTCATTACCTCGAACATCTAACACAGAGGTCCTCAAACTCATCTCGTTTACTGTTCATTTTGATAAACAATTCTTTTATAGAAGAACGAATGTGCTATCGATAATATTGAAATTTGAAGAACGGAGAGGGAGGCTCTGGACCCCAGCACCAACAAGGGGCATCATCGCTCACTTTCAGAAACGCTGATATATACTAAGTGACATATAAATCCGAACACCCAGTTTAAATGGTTTTATTTTAATAAAAGTTGGTGAATGTATTTATCTTACTGTAAATAACAACTGAAAAAATTTTCAGCCTTATCAGTTGGACATACCGGTTTTTATACTGCTTTTTTTTAATTCACTAACGCTCTAAAAATGAATATTTCAGCCCCAGTAAAGACCTGTACGATTTCGTCAACTTAGTGAGTTTGATAGGGGCCGTATAGTGGGACTTCGGGAAGCTGGACTTTCTTTTCGGGCAATTGCAGTTAGAGTGCAAAGAAGTGTAGACACTGTGGTTAGGTGTTGTCAGGCATGGCTTCGAGAAGGCCGTACGCAAAGAGCAAGGGTCACTGGACGCCGCCGTAGAACAACAGACCGTGAAGATCGCCGCCTAAGATTATTGGCCTTAAGGGACCGTTTCTCCACTACCAGGTCCATTGCAAATGAATGGTTTGCAGAACACGGCAGACCTATTGGCATGCGAAGTGTTTACCGACGAATGAGAAGTTTTGGCTTGTTTTCATACCGGCCACACTGGGTCCTCCCTTTAACTCGAGAACACCGACGTAATCGCCTTGAGTGGTGCAGACAACGGTCACTCTGGGATTTAGTGACGAGTCTCGATTTTGTTTAGGCATGCACGATGGTCGTGCCAGGGTTAGAAGGCGACGTGGTGAAAGGAGGAATCCACAGTTTTTTGTTGAAAGATATGTTCATCACACTGTTGGAGTTATGATTTGGGGTGCTATAGCTTATGGTTCCAGGTCACCTTTAATCTTCATCAGAGGTAACATGAACGCGCAGCGTTATATCCACGAAGTTCTAGAACCCCATCTTTTACCCTATCTTGACACCCTGTCAGATCCAACTTTCCAACAAGATAATGCCCGACCACATGTTGCAAGAGTCACAATAGACTTCTTTCAACATAATGATGTCACGTTGTTACCATGGCCACCAAGATCTCCCGACTTATCCCCAATTGAGGACGTGTGGGATATGATGGGTAGGCGCGTTGGAGAATGCGTAGCACATCAGGGTGCATCCACACATTATTAAAGGTCAAAGGGCTTTAAAGCAGTGCAATCATTTTGAAAGTTTTATCATTTATTTATTATGCTTCATTAAGTGCTTATACAAAATTTTATTAAAATAAAACCATTTAAACTGGGTGTTCGGATTTATATGTCACTTAGTATAAAATATTAAGATTTTTTACTAGTATTTTTTTTCTTTTTCTGAAGTAGCCACGCAGGCCGCGCTTTACTGAATTATCAATTCCAAAATGTTCGAATCAATTAATCTTTTAAGACATCTTTCTCACATAGAGCACAGTTCGACACTGGCAAACGGGCAAAGTGGATAAGCTGTATGTGCATTATTGCAAAGCCACATTTATGTAAGAAATAACGTCCACTAGATTGACCCTGTACTTTCCACGCGTTAGAAACAACTTCTAGTACAATTTTAGATGTAAGGTTCATCAGAACCACTATTTGGGCTTTTCCTGAAAAAGAAAATCCTTAGATTGCAGCAATGAGCGTGTTCGTACACGGTAGCCTCATTTCTTTGGAGCTGTGGTTTGTCAACAGTGTTTGGTGACTGATTACACTGATAAACTCAGGGTTTGTGACATGACAATTTTTTAGTCTATATTATGTATTTTGAGACCCTCAAATCAAATCTTAAAACAGATTTTTTCTGTCACCCACAGATATTATGAATTACAATACGTAACATCTCATATTGCTGCATTTCTCGGCGTTTATGCGATGACGCACATATATAATGTTAAGACCTGTCTGTTCCTAGTTATTATATGCGAGCTCTATGTTTAGAGAGCATATTGCGTTTATTAGTAGACTAATAGCAGCCGAGTCAGTTACGTTTTCTGTGTTGAAGGGTACTGAGATGTTCTGAGTACTGTTAATTTTTCTTAAAACGGTGTGCTGTTTTTAGTTTATTAGCTTTATGAACAATGCCTAGAAATTGTGTAAATAGTGCGAACAGTTTTTGTTATATGTGCGGAAAGCTAACTTTTAAATCAGAAAAAAGTACTTTTACTCCTCTTGTGTTGAATGCATACGAACTTTATTTTGGAATTAAAGTTGGCGACCAAGATAAACTATGGGCCCCTCATATATGTTGAAAGACTTGTGTAACGTTGTTAACAGGTTGGTTAAGAGGCGACAATCGTAAAATACCCTTTGCGGTACCAATGGTTTGGAGAGAACCGAGAGACCATACTTGCTATTTTTGCCTCACAACTATTAAAAGTATTGGACCAAAATCGAAACATACTGTTAAGTATTTTAATTAACATCAGCTATGCGGCCCGCTAAGCGTAGTGATGAACTTTCTGTCCCAGTTCCACCAGAATCTTGGTCTTTGGATGAAAAAGCCGAATCCACCGATTCTAAAAGTGACGGTACAGAAAGCGTAAAAATTTCCGATCTTTCGTTTGACCTGCCAGGATGTTCAACAGCGCCGCATTTGATTACACATTGCGAACTTAATGACTTAGTTCTAGAATTAAATCTGTCTAAATCCCAGTCAGAACTTTTACCACCAAGATTAAAAGGATGGAATCTTCTGCACGGTGATGTTAACATTACTTTTTACCGAAAACGGCAACAAAACCTCACACACTGTTTCCATCAAGGAAGGCAGTTGATATATTGCTCCGATGTCAACAGTTTGTTTGACGCGTTAGGACAGACACATGATCATAATGATTGGCGCCTGTTCATTGATTTCTCTAAGCTTAGTTTAAAAGCGGTATTGGTACATAACGGTAATAAATATCCATCTGTACCTATAGCGCATGCAGTTCATGTGAAGGATTCATATGAAAATATGCTAGTTCTATTAGAGCATATCCGTTATGATGAATATGGATGCGCCATATGTGCAGATTTAAATATAACCGCCCTTCTTCTTGGAATGCAACTGGGATAGACCAAATGTTCTTGTTTTCTTTGTGAATGGGACAGTCGTGCTCGAGATCGTCATTATGAACAGAAGTGGCCACTACGTCAGGTATTAACTCCGGGCCCCAAAAACATGTTGCTTCCACCTTTGCATATTAAGTTGGGACTTGAAAAATTTTGGGCAAGCTATGAATCGAAATGGAAGAGGGTTTCTGCATTTAATACAATCATTTCCGAGACTTAAAGAGAGCATATTTGTGGGTCCATAAATACGGAAAATCATGAAGGATGATATATTTGACAGTGCTCTAAATGAATGAATGAATTACGAGCTTGGAATGGTTTTAAATAGGGCGCAAACCCAAATCCGAGCAGTACCTTCCAAGTTATAGTGGAGCCAAGGAATAGCAAACAGACAGACTGAGAGATCGACCGACGGAAATGAGTAACATGGTTTTTAACACATTTTACCAGAGACAATTATATGATTCCAACTTACTGTACTTCCAACGGTTCCAACACCCAAATAAAAGGTATCTACATCAGCGAATTCATTGCGTAGTTGAGAAAAACTGCGCACTTCTTGACCCGAGACAGTGTACATACGTTTCGCACCGTTCATCTTTAGAACCTGACCAAGGTCTTCCAGCACCTCTTCGAATGGCTGCGTTGTTCGGAGATTCAGAAGAACACGACACTAGAATAAAAAAAATGGCCTCAATTGATTGACTTTATTCTTCCCATGACTTTGAAACAACTTCTACTTCGGCAACCCCTCAATCCGCCATTTTGAAATCTGGAGTGCTGAATTTTGTATCAAAAAAAACTTACACACCTCAGCTTTTATCTTATTTGTTACTTTATGAATTTTAATTTTTGCTCATACAGGGTGGTCAAAAACGCGAATAGTACTTTTTCACAAAAATTCCAAACGCATCACCCTGTACCCTGTACATGTGTGGATTCAATTTTGTATAAGCTTTTTTTGATACCAGACACATATGGGTTTTTACGGCTATTTTTTCGGTTATTAGCACGTCTTTTAGGGAACGGTTTAATTCCCTAAAATATCGCATCATCATTAGCTTTGTGAGCATTATAATAAAAAAAATTTCTAAAGCAGAAATGGTGAATATGGTGTTCGTTTTGGGCGAAGCCCAAATAAACTGTTTCCTAGCATCTCGCATTTATAAGCAACGGTAATATGCGACATCCAAGGCCGGAAACATTTTCCACACTACCAGAACGTTTTGAATCAAGTGGAACACCTTACATCACAGTAGCTAATTACCAAAACCCCATAGTATGTTATATCAATTTTCTTCTTTCAATTGGTTTATCCAAATATGCAATAAAATTCGGGGCACTCCATTTGAGAAATCACAACTTTCATATGTATGTCGAAATTGGGAGACCCTGTATAATGACAAATACTTTAGAAATGTGCCCTCAAATATCATCCCATAAATATATTTTCCCAAAATGTATTTGTTTATGAGTAATATTCCGTCCACACATGGATGGGCCACCCTGTATGATCTCGTGAAATCAAGTAACATGAGTAACACTCTACGCATAATGATAATGTCGCGTCCACCTCGTATGTGTTTATGTCCCCCGAATCCTCTGCCAAAGATACAATATTCACAACTCCATGACGGATGGCAAGTGCGACCGATAGATATGGGATCCGCCGGCTAATATTTTTGTTTTAAGAGCTAATGTACCGGGAAATCTATGATGTGTGAAACATATGTCAAATAGGTGCATGGAATTAACGGGGTTGGAAGTGTATTGATATACTAATATCAAAAAATTTTGATACACCCTTTTCTCTTGTAGGCATGTTTAATGTTTTAACTGTGCCAAAATTGTTTATATTGTTTTATTTCATTTTACTGTTGTTTACTGTTATTTTGTACCTAGTTCTAAGTTTTATTGACAATTCCTATATGTTTTTTGTAACATCAACAGGAAAATAAAGAATTTGAATTTGAATAGGAAGAATAGAGGTGTCGTACCGATCAATTGTAGTGCGTGTAGTGCGAGAGTTAGGCTGCATACCCTATTACTTAAGAAGTAGGTGCTTCTACTTCAGCTGAATGGATGGATAATTTGTGGGTTGTGACTTTGCTCTTAAAATGTACCTGTATAGTGTGGTCCATATTATTGATGATCCTAATGACCCTTCCGGAGCTAGGTTTGATTGGTGCGCTGGATGCACCCCCTATTGCTTGAGCAGTTGGTGCGTCTACTTCTGCAATAGACGCTTTGCGGCTTGTGGCTTTGCTCCAGCCTTGGCCGCCTGGAGCTGCATACCATATGCCGTTCTTCTTGCCATAGCTAGCCGCCTAGAACAAAATAGAAAGTGTTTAGTCCAAAAAGTATCTTTGCATCTGCTCGGAAAAATATTTTGATCTGTTTTTTGCTTAAACTCATTCAAAAACACTTTTAACGATTCTGCACATAGCCCAGGACCAAAATTGCATCAAGTTGATGTTTAAGCAATTTTTTTGAATCATTTCCAAAAGTTGTTTTCTTCGCTAGAGTTCTTTAATGTTTTTTGGGCCTTTCTGAACAAAAAAAAGGTTCTTTTGATCTTTTTATAAAGTTTATTGTTTTCGAGATACAATCCATTTAATATTTGGGAAGGTACGAAATTTGTCCTTCCGGTCTCGGAAAATAATATGGAAAAATAAAATTTTTAATGTTGTCAAGGTTGCTAAGTATTCTTCAAACATTCATTAACGAGGTTCCAAAATATTTTAGGGATATTTGTTTTTTAGTTGTCAATCAAGGGAGCGCTCTATGCACAGGATCAGCAAAGAGTCATTGAGGTTAAGCAATTTATATTCATGAAAGAGACTGAGTACTTGACATCAAGGACTTTCACTCAAATTAAATTCGGATCCTCAGTGATTCTCTACCGATCCTGCATATTTTGCGCGAGCGCGCCGGCGGCTCCCCTATGTTGTTACATCTTAGATATTTCACATCGCTACCATCAGATATACATATACTAAGTGACATATAAATCCGAACACCCAGTTTAAATGGTTTTATTTTAATAAAAGTTGGTGAATATATTTCTTACTCTAAATAACAAGTGAAAAATTTTTCAGCTATATCAGTTGGACATTCCGGTTTTTATACTGCTTTTTTTTTAATTCACTAACGCTCTAAAAATGAATATTTCAGCCGCAGTAAAGAATCAACGTTGGCGGATTTTGGTTCTTGACATCCTTTACGATCGGTTACGATGCCAAGAGTACGGAGACCTGTACGATTTCGTCAACTTAATGAGTTTGATAGGGGCCGTATAGTGGGACTTCAGGAAGCTGGACTTTCTTTTCGAGCAATTGCAGTTAGAGTGCAAAGAAGTGTAGACACTGTGGTTAGGTGTTGTCAGGCATGGCTTCGAGAAGACCGTACGCAAAGAGCAAGGGGCACTGGACGCCGCCGTAGAACAACATACCGTGAAGATCGCCGCCTAAGATTATTGGCCTTAAGGGACCGTTTCTCCACTACCAGGTCCATTGCAAATGAATGGTTTTCAGAACACGGAAGACCTATTGGCATGCGAAGTGTTTACCGACGAATGAGCAGTTTTGGCTTGTTTTCATACCGGCCACACTGGGTCCTCCCTTTAACTCGAGAACACCGACGTAATCGCCTTGAGTGGTGCAGACAACGGTCACTCTGGGATCAGGAATGGAACAGTATTGTCTTTAGTGACGAGTCTCGATTTTGTTTAGGCATGCACGATGGTCGTGCCAGGGTTAGAAGGCGACGTGGTCAAAGGAGGAATCCACAGTTTTTTGTTGAAAGACATGTTCATCACACTGTTGGAGTTATGGTTTGGGGTGCTATAACTTATGGTTCCAGGTCACCTTCAATCTTCATCAGAGGTAACATGAACGCGCACCGTTATATGCACGAAGTTCTAGAACCCCATCTTTTACCCTATCTTGACACCCTGGCAGATCCAACTTTCCAACAAGATAATGCCCGACCACATGTTGCAAGAGTCACAATGGACTTCTTGTTACCATGGCCACCAAGATCTCCCGACTTATCCCCAATTGAGCACGTGTGGGATATGATGGGTAGGAGATTGCTCAATTTGCAACGCCCTCCTCAGACTCTAGAAGCACTTCGAGAGGAGTTGGTGGTTGCCTGGAATGAGATACCACAGGAGGACCTTGACCACCTGATCAGAAGCATGCCTAGGCGCGTTGGAGAATGAGTAGCACATCAGGGTGCATCCACACATTATTAAAGGTCAAAGGGCTTTAAAGCCGTGCAATAATTTTGAAATTTTTATCATTTACTTATTATCCTTCATTAAGTACTTATACAAAATTTTATTAAAATAAAACCATTTAAACTGGGTGTTCGGATTTATATGTCACTTAGTATATTTTGGTTATTAGTATGAATTTTTAACTAATGTCGGGATAATTAATTACAATAACAGTCAACGTTACTTCAACAACTTGATTCACTCATCTCTCACCTCAACCAGACTTGCACGAGACGATGTTTGAAAATTTTCAGAACCATCGCTGTCCTCATGCCTGTCGTTCTCGATTTTATACTCGTTTTATGACTATCGGAAAAAAATGTAAACGAATACAATATTGTTGTCGTCTACTTTACCTTTCGCGCTCTAACGTAGTCGGAGTGCGCGCTTGCTTAACAATAAAAAACAAAGGCTGAACAACAATATCCCCTAAAATGCTTTGAGATTTTGTTCTTAGACATTTGTAGAATTTTCGTTTGTTCATATTGTTTTTGGAATCGTAAACTGCATATTTTAAACTATCAAGTATAGTCAATAAGAGCCTTTTTGTTTAGAATGACAAAAAAACTAAACAAGACTTTCCTCGAAGTAAGAAAAAATAATTTATAAGAGGTCACTTCGCGTTTTCAGAACGATGGACAAGGGTGACGTGTCTGGTGCATAAAAAAACGACACATAACCTCATGCTCGCTTGTCGCTTTGGAGGGCTGACCACCTCCTTTTGGGAGCGGCAATGCCTACACCAGATAGTTCTGTGCTTTGATGGTCTTATGCGGTTCTATCTTAAAATTGCAATGATGCTTCGCGCAATCTCGGCATGTTAGTAGTAACATGTAGTAACACACACTGTATAGGAATGTGAAGAAGGTAAGAAAGAAACGAATTTTCACCTGGAAAACAAAATATATTGTCACAGAATTATCAACTGTACTTGGAAAAGGCCTCAGAGGTTGTCGAAGCATCGTAAAATAAATAAAAATCTAATCGTATATCTATCACAGGATAAGTTTCAGTAGTTACATTTACTCCACATGACTTATTTTTTTAGTACTGAAATAAACAGTTCTGTTCAATTCCAAAGCCGTGGTATAGGCCTCCTGCTACTTCTCTTACCTGGCGCTTATATCTCGATCACTATGTATAATTGTATATGCATATGAAATATATATGCGTGAAGTAACCCGTTATAATGAAGAAATGCACGACACATTACGAGCATATAATGCTGGGGTAATTTTTTTCACGCTAAACCTTTTGTCCTCATTACACAGTTTCTCATATAGTTCGTGACCCACAAATAAAGTATACATAAATTGAGACACTAATCTTGATTCATTTCATAGGAATTATCGACACGGTTCCACGAAACCCCGAAACCTCAAATGCAGTAGCGTAACCTAAATTTATCCGAATACTTTTTCTAATATTGAAACAGTCGTGAACGCAGAGACAAAATAGAGCTGCAACAATGGGCTGGAGGTATAACGCACTCCTATTGGCCAGCAGGCTATGAATGCCTAGGCAGGCAGCGACAAGCACATGGAAGCAGGGATAAAGTGCTCGTTTTTGTTTTGAGGCGGAGTAAATGAGAGACATATTCTGAGGAATGTATTTTCTAGTAGTGCACAGTTAGAATGACAATCAGGAAGCAGCCAGCAGTCCAAGAATATGGCCAAATTAGAGACGACAATTCAGAGGAACAAATTCCGTACACGGATCGGCAGGAAAATGTCAGACAATGGGGTTAGTCGCTTATCAAGCAAGATTATTTGATTTAACCAAGAGTAAAGGTCCCACGGACCGCTCTGACGGACAATGACGAACAGAAGAAGACCGATTACTTGGATTGACCTCGTCTGCGTCGCGTCAAGTAACCACAATGTAGTCGGAGTAGCTGGTCTTCACATATAGGATAAGTTTTTAAAGTGTAGCTGTTGGATAGCTCTGTTATGACTATTATAAAGTGTATCTTAGAAGTTATTTACAAAAATTGTAGGCTAATATATGATAATAACATAAATGAACGAAATTTAGAGACGGCTATTCTTCTACTTAATCCTGAAATAGTAATAATCACTACGAGTTTAGATTAGTAAAAAGTTAATACAATAAAAATAAAAGCATTGAGAAAATAGAAATCACCATACTACTCGTAAGGTGCAGAAGGTGATTTTTTAAATCACATTTACATTTATTTAGCAACATGTGTCTAAATTGGCAAAGAATTACAGGATACTGCATTAAAAGTGAAAGACGTAGTGAATAATGAGGGTTTATGTTGCGTCATGGTGAACAAAGTTTTCCAGTCAATTTTATTTTATGTACTGCAGTAAGTAATAAATATTTAAATAAATTATTAACATTCAGGCGACAACAGTAATTTTGGACTTTTTGCAATCGTTTGTTAGTGATCTAGGCAAGGATAGCGTAATGATAAACAATAACGAATTTTCCAAATGACTGATCTTTCACATAGAATCTTGTCAAATATCTTTTTTCGCATGTATGATAATAATAATAAAAATAATAATAATAAAAATAATAATAATAAAAATAATATTAATAATAATAAATGGGCTCTACTTCGTACAAAAGTACGAAAAAGGCGAAGCGTCGCTAAGAGTAGCGTTTTCCAACTTAACCTTTGAAACAAAAAAAATTATACAGGGTGTTCCTGAATGATACGCGAATATTTAAGGATGTGAATCTACATGAAAAATTAATGTTAGTTTGCTTTATAAACTATGGTCCAAAAATGTTTCCTTACAAAAACTCGGAGTGTTGAAGTTTTAGGAAAGAAATGGAAATTAATTAATATTTTTAGAACTGCTTTAGATATTTCACTGATATTTAGTACGTAGTGAAGGTTAATAAAGTTGCATATTTTTTAATGCAAAAATAATTTTTAGCATCAACAGTGGCGTGCGTACGGGTATTGACTTGGATATTTTTTGTGGAAAAAATGGTACGCCAATTTTTTTAGCCAAATAAAAATTATTTTTGAATTTCCCGTTCAATTCAAAACAAATGATCTCTCTTGAATTGTTTCCTTTTGATGCGCCATTTTTGAGTAAAAAAATAAAAACCGTTCTGTTGTCTAACTTGCAAAATTATTATTAATTTAATTGGAAAACGGTTTTTACTTTTTTACTCAAAAATGGCACATCGAAGGAGAACAATTAAAGACAGATCATTTGTTTTAA